GGATGGAGGTGCAAGAGGTGATGGTGGTCATAGTGGTGGTGGCCAAAGCTGAGCTCATGAGTGCTCACGTTGTGGACGAGAAGGTCACACAGTCAACTTTTGTTATGATCTTTAGGGCCCTCCATCATCCTAGGCTAACCGGAGTCTTAGTGTGACTGAAGATGCTCTCCTGCTTCTAATATTGGTAAGATAAAGACAATCTCTACCTCACTTGAAGAGTATGAAAAGCTTCACCAGTTTGCTTCTTCCAGTTCTACCACCGCTACACTTGTGAAGTCAAGTGTTGCTTGCCTTGTTTCTAATTCTACACCTTCACTCCAAGTAATTGATTCTAGAGCCTCAAACCAAATGACTGGCTCCTCAGATATTTTTGTATCTTTGCCACCTCCTTCTACATCCCAAATTGTTACTTTAGTTGATGGCTCTTCTTCCGCTATTACTAGTACCGCTAATGTGTCTCTTGGTTATGACCTTAGTTTATGCTCTGTTTTTTATGTTCCCAAGTTTCCCTTTGGTCTCTTGTTTTTAATTAAGCTTACTCAAGCCCTTCATTGTTTAGTAATTCATATTGTGTCTTTCAAGATCTCAAGACGGGGAAGACGACGAAGTTGGAGGATTGTACTACCTGGAAAACCATGGTCCTCAGAAGGCTCTTCATTCCTCTCTCACACCACATCAATGGCATTGCCATCTTTGTCATCCTGGAAAACCATGGTTCTCAACATGTTTTGAAAAAGCTAGTCCCTACTTTGGAGTTTGTAACTCAATTGGATTGTGACTCATGTAAATTAAGCAAACATCATAGAGTGTCTTTTGTTCCCAGAGAAGATAATGGAGTCCTAAGTCCTTTTTCTTTAGTCCACTCAGATGTTTGGAGTCCTAATTGTGTGCCATCTTATAATGGATTTAGATATTTTGTAACATTTATTGATGACTATTCAAGAATGACTTGGATTTACTTAATGATGGATCATTCAGAATTGTTCTCTATTTTTTTTATCTTTTCATGTTGAGATGAGGAAGAAGTTTGGTGTATACATTAAAGTATTTCGTTCTGATAATACCAAAGAATATGTTCATAAAAGTGATGCAATTCAAATGGATTGATTGAAATTTCTCATAGAATCATATGATTGAAATTGCTCAGGCCTTGTTAGAGTCACCGTTCTCTATCTTGTTTCCTTCTACTTCCTCCTTATGTGTTTGGTTGTTTGTGTTTTGTTCACAAATTGGATCCAAGATATGATAAAGTTCACTCCAAAGCTATCAAATGTGTTTTTCTCAATGATTTAAAAGGTGCGCCTGGGCGCACAGGTGAGGCGCATTTTAGGGTATGCACCTCACCAAGGTACTAGGCGTAGCCCTTTCAAAAGATGCATGGGTGTGCGCCTTGTGCCTTAACCCAAGCATGTGCCTTTTGAAAATTTCACACTTTTTGCTTTTTTTTTAACCTAGCAGCTAGGCCGGGGGCGTGCTAAAAAGGCGGCTCATAGAATCAGAAATGCAATATGTTTCACATCACATTAGCTACTTGAAGTAATGTAATTGAGGAAAAAAAGAGATTGTGGGTTTTACATGCTAGAAAATGCTTTATATGTTTGATTTTATTTTTAAATTTTCATTTGAATATGTTTTACATGGTATTCTTATTATTCTAATTTTAGAGAATAGGTTTTTTAAAACATTTATTTTAAAATTTAAGTTGATAGTTTTTATTAATATTATGTTTAATGTTTTTTTATTTTTTGAATTTTCTAACTTTTTTTTTATTTTTGCACGTTGCTTCAAACACACACACACACCTCGCCTTACACCTTGCGCCTCAAGCACAAATTGCCCCTTGCACTTTTAAAACACTAGTTTTCCTTGGTTACTCTTGTATTCAAAAAGGTTACAAGTGCTATTATCCTGTTCTTCGAAAGCTTTTGTTGCTTCAGATGTTACCATCTTTGAGAGTTTACCCTATTTCTCTAGACATGAACCTTTTCCTTCTATTCCTCTTTCCTCTAATCCTAGTGATGTCTTTATTCCTTTACCTACTATGGAGGAGCCTATTCGGCCATCTATTCACAGAGTGTACTCTAGACGTGATCAGAAACCAAAATCATCACCAGCAATTGATCCAACTCTAGCCCTGACCTGCCACCAAAATCTTTGTCATTGACAGATCCACCACCCTCGGATCTTGATCTTCCTATTTCTCTTCGTAAGGGTAAATGTCTTTGCATAGATCACCTCCTTTCTTGGTATGTCTCCATTGCTCACATATCCCCTTCACACTAACGGTTTACTTCCCTTTTTATCCTTTGTTTCCCTATCGTGTTCTATACAGGAAGCTCTCTCATCTCCTAACTAGAAGAAGGCAATGGATGAAGAATTTCATGCTCTTCAGTCCAATAATACTTGAGATCTTACTTCCTTACATCATCAAGATGGCAATATTGAATGGTTCAAAGCTCAACTTGTTGCTAAGGGGTGTATACTCAGACCTATGATGTGGACTATTCAGAAACCTTCTCTCCTATGGATAAAATAGGTTCTGTACAAGTGCTCATCTCTTTAGCTGCCTATTTTGATTGCCCTTATTTTAACTTGATGTCAAAAATTCTTTCCTCCATGTTCATCTTTAAGAGGATGTGTATATGGAGCAACCTCCTGGGTATGATGCTCAAGGGGAGTTAGGGAAGGTGTGTTAATTGAAGAAGGCTATCTATGGGCTAAAGCAGTCACCACGAGCATGATTTGGTTGTTTTAGTAGCACAGTAAAAGATGTTGTCTTGAAACAATGCAGTGTTGATCATTCTGTGTTTATCAAGGACTCTTCATCTGAGAAAATCATTCTAGCATGTATATTGATGATATTGTTCTCATCAACAATGAATTAAAACAATTCCCACAGCAGCACTTTCAAACTAAAGGTCTAGGAACCTTGAAGTACCTTCATGGAATTGAAGTAGTCCAATCGAAGTGGGGAATCTCTTTGTCCCAGCGAAAGTATGTTTTGGACATGTTGGATGAAACTGGGTTGTTAGGATCCAAGCCAATTGAAATTCTTATTGATCCCAATGTGAAGATAACTAATAATCAAGGGGAGCCATTAGAAGACTCCACAAGATACCGAAGATTGGTAGGCAAGCTGATTTATCTTACTATGAGAGTGTTGAAAAATCTAAAGGGTGCTCCTGGTTGGGGGCTGTTATATAAGAAAGGAGGAGATATGCTCTAATAGGGTATTCAGATGCATATTGGACAAGGTCTCCAATGGACAGGAAGTCTACTACAGGTTATTGTACCTTATTGTGCGGAAAACTTGTCACTTGGAAGAGCAAGAAGCAGAATTTGGTTGCTAGGAGTAGTGTTGAACCTAAATACAGGGCAATGGCCCATCCTACCTATAAGCTAGTTTGCTGAAGTTGATTACCATTTTGTGAGAAAGTAACAAGTGGAGATATTGTTACTTCCTATGTTAAATCTAAAGACCAAGTAGCTGATATTTTTGTTGAAAGTTTGGGTCGCTCAAGGATCGATTATATTTGTAACAAGCTAGAACTTTATGATATATATGCTCCAGGGGGAGTGTTAGAATTGTTAAAATTAGTTGACAAGGGCGTACTTGTTTTCTCTTGTTTTTTTTTCTCTCTTATATGTGTTGTAACTTATCTAGGGTCATTATTGTCATTTCAACAACCAATAAAATGTTAATACAAGCTGGGCCGACAGTGAGGAGAGTAGTTCAACTTCTCCTTGCTTGTCTTCCCTTTTTTCTTCTCTTCCCTACCTTCTTCCTTTGCTTCTTTTTATATTCTCTTGATCATTACCTATAAATAAAAAATTAAAAAAAAAAACTTCCTCTAGGGGATAGTCCCCTAAAATAACTTTGGCTTACTCCTTGCCTTGCCAAAGCATCAACCATGCTGTTAGCTAATCTTTGAGTCCAAATGGATGTAACCCAATCTTAATCCCTGTAGCACTGCCAATGGTTCAACCCTTTAGAATCCCACCCCACCCCATAGGCGTAGAAAACATAACTAAAATTTTTTGATAAGTGAAAACATAACTAAAATTATACTGTAATAACTCTTCAAAACTCCCCCAATCCCCAACAAACTCAAATTACCAAGATTGCATCCATCAAAGTTCAAGCTGGTATAGTCAAGGATTGGAGGTGGAACCGTATAGGTCCTTACCCAAGAGAATGAGACCACAATCTTCTAAAGGGGTCATTTGAAGAGTGAGATGCAAGTAATGGCAATACTTTTACCCAATATACCACCTTCACAAGAATGTTTTCTATTAGGGATTCCCTATATTGATTTTGTCTTTGAATATTCTTGCATTTTTCCTCCCGTATGGTCCATAGGTATACAGCTGTAGTACACGTCTACAATATTTTGTCTCTTTTCCAAGGCAGGGAGAATAAGGATGCTTGAAATAGAGAACTGAGACAGTTTTACCCAAACCCAAATAGAGAAAGAAAATTTCCAAATTCCAAAAACAAGTAGAAAAGAGATTGGTAAATGGAAGGTAGTTTCACAACCTTTTATAATATTCCCTGTCTACAGCTCCTAGTTGTACAAGGTTTTTTGTTCAAGGAAATTCTATACTTCACCTTTCTATACTTGTCATTTCTGTTCAGCAGATGTTTGTATACATTAACATAAGAGACCAATTTGGTATTCCCTTTAGCTAACACTCACATGTATGACATCCTAGTTGAAAACCCTACTCATGGAAGGTATGAGACATTAGCCTTCACATGGAACACCAACAGAGAGGAGGGGTTTGAGGATTAATTGGCAAGCATATAGATGATAAAAGATCACAAGACCTATGCAAAAGTATATAAGGTACAAGCGTGTAGTAAGCACAAAGCCAATGTCACTTCACAAAAGAAACCAGAAAAAAACATTAGTATCAGAATTAGTTGACAATTAATCATCCAAATCCGTCTCAGCCCTTGGATCAGAAAAATGTTATAGAAACAAAAGCCACAACATTACATGTTTGCAAGTAACCATTTCAGTCAGAGAACGAAGACTCCACTTCTTAGGGATTCCACCAAGCTTCAGATTTGCAAGATCGGACAAGTCTTCCAAAGCTTTAACAGATACACTGTAATCCTTCAAAACCTTAGTAGCATCACCAGCTATGCAAACTCCAACCTTCACATTTACCAAACATTATTATTAATAAATAAAATTATGAAGGAATGGAACAATTTACATAGAACAAAAAATGAATATAGAATAAAAAATTACCAAACCTTTATGGTTGTTGAATCCTCAAGAAGTGACTGCAGAATTGGAGGAATTCCAGAATGAATAATGTGCATAACATCACAGCGACTAGTATCACCACATATCTGAAAAACTGCCGCTTTCCCTGGTGCTTCTCCTGCAGATCCAGGTTATGTTTGATAATGTTCAAGAAATCCAAATTTTGAATAGATAATGTTCCAGAAGTCCAAATGTTGCAAAACAGACATCCATTTCTAACCTCCTCTATTTGACAGGAAAATGATTCCAACATACAAACTGATTTTTAGACTGCTAAATCAGCATTTTGCTTCAAAGCCCTAAGGACTCTCTGTCTCTCTACCATCTAAGTCACGGACAAGCAAAAGGCTGTGGATGTGTGACTCAATATGTCTGTATAAATCAAAGAAATGAGTCCGGCAGAACTGTCAGGGTGATATTTTAACAGGATCCTAACATGTACAAGTAACTCTACATGGAAAAGAAAAACATTAGATGCTGCAAGCTCCTATAGCAACTTGCCCACCCCATCAAAGTCTGCTCAATCTTACCCATGATGGCCTCCAAAGAGAGTGTTACACATTGTCAAACATCCTAATGTTATGCTCCTTCCGTAAGTTCTGTTTTCACTTAGATTCAGTAGAAGAATAGAATAGGAAGAGGGGAGAAGGGAAGAGAGAATGAGAAGAAGAGAGGAAAAAGATTGGAGAGACTTCCTCAATTCATGGGAGGTCAGAGAATGGATGGGATGCTGGTGTATCAAGGCAAGCTAACCTAGCAGCACCTTGGAAGGCCATTCACAACACCCTTCCTCAATTCCTCAATTTTATCGGGTATGAAGTTTGTTCTGGCAACACTGTTCATTTTTGGGAGGATATTTGGGTAGGAGACACACCTTTAAAGGATCTGTTCCCTTTGCTATTTTCTGTTTCTTTGTACAAAAAAGATGTGGTCTCAAAATTTGTCTCACCTTTGGGAACACCCTTAGATCCCACTTGAGATTTTGGGTTTCGTAGAGGACTTAGGGATGATAAAATTGAATCTCTTTCTGTACTGCTTGGTTGTCTTAATCAGGTTTGTTTGGATCAACAAGCCAGATAAGAGGGTATGGACTCCAAGACCCAATGGAACCTTCACTTGTGCTTCTTCCTTCAATTCCATCTCTCAACTTTCTACTCACCAACCCTTTCCGTCAAAAGAAATTTGGTGTAGGCCAGTTCCCCAAAAAATTATGGCGCTTTGTTGGGAAGCATTCCATGGGAAAGTAAACACTCTAGATAACCTACAAAAGAGAAGACCTTTCCTCTGTATTTCTCCTAATTGGTGTATCMTYYGTAGAGMTCACGGTGAGGATTGTTACCACCTATTAATATCTTGTCCCTTTTCTGCAGACCTTTGGGCTTGGCTACTTTCGTTGTTTAGGAGAAGTTGGAGTCTACCAGCAGAAGTTCACATGCTCTTCAACCATTCTACCTTTTATTGGCCTACAACAATAGGGAGAATTATGTGGAGATGTGCTCGTGCTGCCTTGATTTGGACTCTTTGGGAAGAAAGGAATATTAGAATTTTTCAAGAAAAGGAAAGGAGCAGTCAGGAATTGAAAGACTGTGTGTTAAATAGGGCAATACCTTGGCTCAAGACCTTGGAAATCTTTCATCAATTCTCCTTTAATGACCTTTGGAGAAATTGGTCAACAGTAGCGAGGTGTTCATCTCTAAAGGACAAATCAACTACAAGTTGGTCTCCTCCATCCGAAGACTCACTGAAGTTGAACTTTGATGGAAGTAGCATGGGTAATTCAGGATTATCCGGAATGGGGGTGCTTTGAGAAATGAGAAGGGAGAGATTTTGTTGCTCTAATCAGGTCCCTTGGGAATTGGGGACTCCATTAGGGCAGAACTTTTAGCTGTTGTACAAGGGGTGCAATTTGCAAACCAGATGGGGGTACAACACCTAACAATTGAGGGGGATTCCAAAGTGGTGGTGGGTTGGTTGAAAAATCCTAAAGAGGCTATGTGGCGTTACAAGAATGAAATGAAGAAATTTAGTTGGTTGACAAGGAATATGTTGGTCACTGTACAGTGGGTGGGGAGATCAGCAAATACTTTGTCAGATGTGTTAGCTAAGCAAGGGGTAAATAGGGAAGAATTGTTTTGGGCTCAGTTGTGATTCTTGCTTTTCTTTCCTAGTTTACTTGTAAGATTCAAGGAGGGGCTGCAGCTCGCGCCTCTCCTTGGGATGTTGTATGAACTCACTCTAAATCTGCTTTTGAATTAATAAATTTATTATCATTCATCTAAAAAAGATTGGAGAGCCAAAAAAACAGGGCAGGTGGTGACCCCATTAGTATTTATAGGTATGTGACAGCAAACATGATAAAAATGAGAATTACAAATATACCCTTCTGGCACTAACTAATATTAAACAGAGGAAAAATAAGACTAATAAAGGACTGACAACACTCTCCCTCAAGTTGGGGCTACATAAGTTAATCATGCCCAACTTGTCACACAACTCATTATGCCATAGAGATGGAAGTCCCCTTCGTAAGCACATCAGTAAGTTGTTCTTTTGAATTGACATAGGGGGTAGGTGCACATTTCACCCTTCTACAGCTTTTCCCTTATAAAGTGTTTGTCCACCTCTATATGTTTTATCCTGTCATGGAGAACAGGATTAGAAGTAATGTTTATAGCTGCCTTGTTGTCTTAGTAGAGAGGTATTGGGCTGTCAACATTAACCCCCAGCTTTCCTAGTAACTTCTTAATCCAAAGCACCTCTGCAACCCAGTAGAAAAGTTTAGAATATCTGTTTTGATATAAAACCTGTGTAAGAAAGAGGAAAAGAAAGAGAAGAAAAGATTTATGCAGAGAAGAAAAGAGGAGAGAAAATGAAGAGAATGGGAGAAGCCAAAATTAGGTCTGGCCGCCTTTCATTAGCTTATTTCTAAACTCACAAATAAAAACTGAGCACAAAGACAAGTATGCCCTTTGTAAGTCGGCTACTTGTAAAATCTAAATAAACACTCTTAACTTAAACATAAACTAATGGGCCTTAAGTGATATCAGTCCAAAACTCAACACTCCCCCCTCAAGTTGGGAATAGATGTCACACATTCCCAACTTGCGTAGATCATGCTCTAGCTTGTTTCTTGCAACACCTTTTGTAAGAACATCAGAAAGCTGCAAGTCAGATGCAACATATGGTAAGCAAACTTCTCCGGATGTTACCCTTTCCCTTATAAAGTGTATTCACTTCTATATGCTTCGTCCTATCATGTTGAACTAGGTTGTAGGCAATGTTAATTGCTACTTGATTGTCATAGTATAGCATCATAGGTTTTTCGGCCTCAACTCCGATCTCCCCAAATAAGAACAAACCCAAAGGAGTTTTCAAACACCGTGTGCCACAACTGTTGTCATCTAGGCACCCTGCCCAATCAGCATCTGTGTAAGCCTCTAACTTCTTCAACTGTCCATGGTCAGCAAACAGTATGCCTCTACCTGGGTGTCCCTTCAAATAGGGAAGTATCCTATCAATAGCCTCCCAATGTTGAACTCGTGGGGCATGCAAGTACTGACACACCACGCTCACTGCATAAGAGACGTCTCGTCATGTCATACATAAATATAGTAACCAGCCCACTGATCTCTGACACCTTCCAACATCCTTCATTAGTTCACCCTCTAAAGCATTTATCTTGTGGTTCTGATCAATAGGTGTATCAGTTGTCCTTGCCCCAAGTAGGGGTGGCAACGAGCCAAGCTTTTCACGAATATATATAATAAATAGGTGTCCCAATTCATTGACTCGATTATTAAACAAGCCGAGCTCGAATATATATATATATAATAAATTTATACAAAATAATATATACAATAAACATATTATAATTATTAATTATTATAATTCTTAATTTTTTAAATATCAAATAAAAAATATTTTTATATATAATTTTTTATTTTTATAAAATATTTTTTCTCAAAATCGAGCTCGAGCCAAGCTGAGCTTGACCTTATGAAATTTAGACTCAAGTCGAGCTCGAGCTCGAGCTCAAGCTAGAAACTTGTAGAACAGTCTTGAGCCAAGCTCGAGCCTGGTAGTATTCGGCTCGAATCCATCCCTAGCCCCAAGTTTTCCGATCTCCTGTAGTAGATCCAAAACATACTTATTCCGTAGGATGAAGATCCCATATGCTTGGACCTTGCCACCTCAATGCCCAGAAAGTAGTTCAGCTCCTCAAGATCCTTAATCTCAAACTCTATGTGCAGGTTCTTCTTCAAGGTGTCAATCTCACTCAAATCACTTCTTGTGACTACAATCTCATCCACATGCACTATCAAAACTGATACCAGTGAGCCCTCCTTTTCACAAAAAGAGTATGATCAGATTGAGTTTGAGTATAACCAATTACAACACCTGGATGAACTAGAAGTTCGAAGAGAAAGAGAAAGAGAGAGAGAGAGAGAGGAAAGAAGAGTGAAAGAAGAGAGGAGGAAGAGAAAGAAGGGGTTCGAATGATGATATCTGCTGCTCCATGTTCTTTATTATTTATAGGCTTTGATTCCTTACAAGAATAGGATAGAAATACATAAAGTCCTAATCCTAGAAAGACAGAATAAAGTCCTAATACTAGTAAGACAAAAATAATATGGATAAATATAAAAAAGCCAGTCGGCCCAACTTAAAAGAAAAATAAAACAACTAGGAAATAACTAGGTGTGGGTATGGACCCATCAGCCCTAAACCCTAAACCCTAAACCCTAAACCCTAAACCCTAAACCCTAAAACCCTAAAACCCTAAACCCCACACTCATAACTTAGTAACTATTTCTTCACTCCCCCTCAAGTTGGGAGTAGATATTTGTCATGCCCAACTTGCGTAAATCTGTCTCCAACTTGATTTTTGTGACTGTTTTGGTGAAGAGATCAACTAACTGCATCTCTGAGGCAATGTAAGGAAGGCATACTTCTTGAGATGCAACTCGCTCTCGGATAAAATGTCTGTCAACCTCGATATGCTTAGTCCTGTCATGYTGTATTGGGTTGTGGGTAATATTAATTGCAGCTTGGTTATCACAATATAACATCAGAGGCTTCTCATAATCAATCTCCAACTCATTAAGCAAGGATCATAGT